TTTTAATCATCATTAACAAAAAGCACAAATATCTTATCATTTTAAAAGGTTATTAATTTGAAATTAGTAAATACAGAGTAAATTAAGTTGAGTTATTGAAGGTTAATTTGAAAAGAAGATAATTGGTTTTAATTTTATAAAAAAGAGTTGATTAAGGTTAATTAATTATCTTTAAAAAAATGATTAATTAAAATGGATTATCAATTTATTTTTTTAAACCTAATGGTTAACTAAAGGATTAAAATATTATTAAAAGAAAAAAACTGATTATCGAAAAGTTAGAAGATGATTACGGTGATTTTAATGGTGATTAGTGTGATTAGTGTGTGGTTAGGCGTTATATTATACAAGTAATGAAGCAACAGAGAGAAAACAAGAATGGAAAACTAATCCCCAGAATCCCCAAATCGGAAACCCTCTCCCTCAACTTCCGATCGCGTCTTCTCCTCTTTCCAATCGCGTCTCACTCAAATTTCTGTACCTGAAACAACAATCACAACATTAGTCATTCAACAGACTCAGTTCAAAGTGAGAGGTTACCGAAGGCTGGTAGAACGGTGAAGACGCGTGCGGTGGAATGGACTCTTCGACGGTTGTGTCTGCGGCGTCGGCGGGATTTCGTGGTAGCTGAAGGTAGCTCGTCGGCTAGGGAGATGAGTTCTCCTCTTTTCTTTGCTCAATTTTTAGGTTACGAATTCGGTGTTTTGTGGTAGTACTAGGGTTTTTTCGTCAGTTCCTGATGTGTTTCTCTGTCTCTTTATATAGGCTCCAACCGAGGTTCCCTGTATTAAAATCACATTGAATGCTGATTGATGATTGATTTAGGGTTTCCTTTCTTGGTTTGAAGAGAGTTCAAAATCTTTCCTTTTTTCAGTGATTGTAATGATGATTTAATTAATTGATATTCAATCCTTTGATTTGTGATTCGATTTGGTTCTGACAAGCAAACTTGATGATTCGATTTGATTCCATCTTCAAGGAATATTCCCTAATCTTTATTTTTTCTGACTTGGCAGGTACAGGTGGCGAAGGGTTTTGGGCTAAAATGTGGATTGGAGGCCCAGAGTGATTACACTCGCATATGATACTGAAAACAATCATTTCCTAGGTATTAATCCTTATGATCTGCTTCTTCAGAGACATCTTTAGGCCATTCTATGCTAGCTTTATTGGCATCAACTTCTTCATCCTCAGTTTTGTTGGCAAGGGGAATGAAGGATTCGTTTAATGTAGGAAGTTGTGACATAGCAAATTTGAAACAGTCTATGAGCTCCCTCGGCATGAAGAGAAGTTTTCTGAATTATCACTAATAGCTAGACCAGCCAAGGCATTCGTGGAATTAGCAGCCATCTCAACAGTTCTGCCAACACTTGAATCAGGTGAAATTTTATCTCATCACTGTTTCCCTCATTCTCTCTCTTTATCGCTCAACTCATTGCCAAGATTACTCATCTTACTCTTACTAACAGTCCTAAGATCAGCATTTCCAGAATTATCTTGCAAGGAGAATGGATACAAGACCCGACAACAAATCCATTGTAGGAGCAGATGTAAATGGATCAATGTACAACTCATAAAGAAGCTGAAGACCAGAAACATGAAGCAATGCATTTACATCCGACTCCAAAAGCTTCACCAGAACATCAAGAAATAACCTTCACGCAACTGCAATAACATTTAGGCTGCAAAGTTGTCCGCTTTACAGGTGTGTCTAGCTCAAATTAAGTAGTAAGTGTGATATTTGGAACTGGCTTGCTGATGTGGTCAATTAGAAGTTGCAGAATAAGAATGCCAAGATTGCCATTGTTATTATTATTGTTTTCGGCATTCTGAGACTCTGCAACATCTGTCTGGCCTTGTGATTGGTGAAATCGTATTTGGAAGTAGTTACCATCTTAGAGGAGTAGGATGGATCCATATTCGTTATCGACATTCTGATTCATTAGTTGTGGCCTGATTAATCCTTTTATATGTGGTTACATTGCAGGGTATTAATCGAGATGATTTTGAAAAATACAGTTGAGATTTCCTTTTGGGTTGATGGCACAGGAAGGTTCAGCGCAGGACGGTTTTGGGTGCCGACTGTTTGAAATGGTTCTTGGCTGAAATGCGTTCAAGGTATGGATTCTCTGCTGCTTTGCTTTATTACGTCTTAATTTCTTCTGTTGATTGCTTCGACCAGATGACACTTTTATTAGTTTTTTTTTCGGTAAAGCGAAAAACACGAGTTCATGACCAATCCTTTGATTGGAGCTTTGGTTCCGTCTCGAATGTTAACAATTGTTTTCACTTACTTAGGTTGTCAAGGACAAAGCAAAGTGACTACTTTTATTGAATGGATTTTTACAAAAAGTCAGATGTTGTGAATCGCGATAGCTACGAACAAGTTAATGGGAGGAGGAGTAACTTTGAACTCGTTGTGTCAGAAAACTCTAACTCGAGGTGCCTTCACATTTCCATCCAGGAAGCTGAACTTGTCCTGCTGTAGTTGTAGTCAAGTTGTAGTATTTCTGCTATTGTCCGACTTGTATGTCTTGTAACTTTCCAAAGTTTGGATTTGCAATGCCTTGTATGGTAGGAACTTGTATGTTGTAACCAATTTGGGAAAAAAACTCTTGAATTAGTACGTTGAATTTGACTATAGCATTAAGCCTTGGATTTTAATCACATGAGGATGCCCAAAGCTTCTTGAGTTTTGTATTTTGTGAGCTTATATTAATATTGTAGACCTTCAGAATTTATTTTAGAAATTTTCCGCCAGCTTGTATTGAGGTCTTGAATGCGTGTCGCAAGAGCTGATTGGCTTCCATACATCAAATCATTAGAATTTCAACCAAAGGTATTCTTGTTTTACTATGAGTATGAAGTCCCATACAATCCGTAGTGTAGCAGCATCTTGACCTTTGTAATAGCCTTTTGTAAAGTAAACACTTGAATGTGGATCCTTGGACAATATTGAACTTGATCTCCTTATGATGAGTATTATTTGCAAATAATTTCAACGTATCATGATCTTGCATTTTGAAACCGAGCATATAGACTTGAATTTAACCTTTATTATGAGAATAATTTATCTTAACATGTGAAGGCCTTACATTTTGTCACATAAAAGGGAGTGTCGGGACCTTAGGAGTTACTACATCTGCACCAGTTGGTTAGTCGCAAAAAACATAAATATTAAAATAACGTCAACTAACAATAGAAAGTACGCAAAAAGAGGTGGCATTCTACGGTCAAAAATTAGGGTGCAACAGATGCCCCTATTTAAGTTGTTGACTTTTTGTTGACTTTTGAAATGACCTATAATGTCTTAGATCATATCTTTCAAACGAAGCATTTTTGGGCTTAACCTTCAACATAAAAGTTGTAGAGAATTCAATTTCCTTCAAAATGAGCTTTGGATGGAGACTTGGTGATGAAGCATGTGAAAGTTATGGCTGGTCAAAGTTCAGTTGACTTTTACTGCATTGACTGATTTTGACTTATCTGATCATCTGACTGAGCAAACTTTTGAGAAAAGTCTTGAAACTTGACATGGGGATTCTTATACACATATAAGATGTTATGAAACTCACTTGAGGTATTGGAAGTCCATTTAGCCTGATTAAAGTCAAAACCCTAGTTTTGGATGCACTGCTTAGGAGGTGCATTGTCTGAGGGAATTATCAACTCTTCTGACCAATTGTGAATCTTGTGAACCTTGTGAACCTTCTTAGAACACAAAGTCTTGTATTGTGAGGGCAAATTTTGGGGTGCAACAGTGTGGTCTTAGTTATTAATAGTGTTTTCTTTGCTTGGTCTCAATTTCACAAGAAAATTCTCTTCTTGGTATGAGATATTAAGGCCATTTGTTGCTTTGGTACGAAATATTTTAAGTGTTGTAGAATATTTTGCATTAGTGACTCATTTTTCCTTGAGGTTTATATCTCATCTTCGTACAAGGCATGTGCATTCATGTCTAAATTGTTGTTACACTAAGGAGATCCTATTACGACGTAAAAGAAGATTTAAGTTCAAAAGGGCTCAGAGAAAACTTAATGAGCTCCCAAGACATAAAGGTGTGAAAACAAGGATTGCAGAACTATTTGAACTCATTAGATAAGCACAAGGAAGAAATGCTAAAGTTACACCAAGAATGCTAAAGTTCAATTGAAGTCAAATTTCAGAAGAAAAAAAAAGAATGTTGTTACCTGCGTAAATTCATGAAGTGCATAAGTTGATTATAAGAGAATTACATGAAGTATACAATTTGATCACAAAGGAACTACATTAAATTACAAGATGTTGATACAAATCTTACATGTTATTGCTAGTCCTAAACCTAAACCACACACCACAACACCATTATCTCCACCTGCGCACAAACCATACAACAAAAAAATAACACAATATAATGGCAGGAATCCTTAACTTATCCGCACTAGCCGTGTACCACGATTCATCCATCCGTCCACAATTCCAGCCGTAATACCAAAACCACAACGGAATACCGTACACACATTGTCACAGCTCCCAGCCTGCAATACAAAGAAACAAATGCAAGTCATGAAAAAAAAGGCCCATTAGCAGATAAGAGAAGAAACAAGCTGCGACCCGCTACAATGCATGCGCCATAATCCGGACCTGAGATCATTTCGCAAACGCAGCAACTATGTGCCTTCACAATTCCACAAGGGACACTGCATAAAAATTGCAGTAAGACTCTTCGTACAGTACCTGCAAACGCGAAAGAATATCAGAAAAACAATAGATATGCAGCAAATATAAATTGAATCGGCCCACAAATAAGAACAGCAAAAAAAAAATACTCTCACGATACCTCCAGCCATTATGCACGACAATATGCTTTTCACAGGCCTCAAATTGCAAACTTGCCACGTTAACGTTATTGGCGAATACATTTTCGACACAAATGAAGAAAGAGCTGCAACGCCTGCGACCTGTACGACCTGCAGCATCTAGCCCCCTTTCACTCGCAGCAGCCAGAAGCTCCATCCACAATGGGTATCGATTTGAAAGCCGGGGGTAAGTCCAAGAAGACCAAACGAACAACACCAAAATCCAATGATATCTATCTCAAGCTTCTCCTCAAGCTTTATCGTTTCCTTGTTCGGAGGGCTCCCGGTAATTTCAATGCGGTTATCCTTAAACGTCTTTTCATGAGCAGAGTCAATAGGCCACCGCTATCTCTCTCTAGGTTGATTCGCTTCATGAAGGGAAAGGAGGGTAAGATTGTTGTAGTTGTTGGAGTTGTGACCAATGATATTCGTGTTTATGACGTTCCTGCAATGAAGGTAACTGCTTTAAGGTTCACAGAAACTGCCAGAGCTAGAATTGTGAAGGCTGGTGGGGAGTGCCTTACTTTTGATCAGCTGGCTATTGAAACTCCTCTAGGCCAGGACACGGTTATTCTTAGAGGTCCCAAAAATGCCCGTGAGGCTATCAAGCACGATGAAGAGCCTCAAAACAGTCGTAGACCATCACAACCATGCGCGACAATTTCACCCAAAGCCAACAACCATTACGGAGCAACTTCGCATCCCACATGTTGTACCCATAACATCGGCAAAAAAAGGTAAAATGCAGCAGCTACCTTGTGCCAAACTTGCACCAACAGACCCCACAACTCATCCAAAACAACAACATGTTGTCACCTGCCATATAACACAATTCAAAAACCGTGACGATTTACACCGTAGAACCATCACGATTATCCATCCATGAAGCAGCCCACACCAACTGGACCCCCACGCAAGTGCCTGAAATATCCAAACATTGTTGTTGTCAGTATTTGGACTGTATGAAAACTACCCACAATCTGCATAAAACAATAAGACAAAAATGCAAAAAAAATGCATATGCATCAGAAAAATGAAAACGCACAGCAGCACATGTTTTGCTCCCTTACACAAATCCGTCTTGGTCTCTTTTCTGTATACCATGGTACAATAACGCAGCTTGTGTGATTATTTGAGGAAAAAATGCAGCACCATACCACAACTCTGCTCCCTGCTACATCTAAAACCATACCCCATCTCCAGACGCTCACCTGCAATAAGAAAGGGACCACACAGCTTCATTAAAGCTCAAACCGAAAACCACTTTCCACCTCAGCCACACAACACTACTAGCTGAACCAAAATAGCCATTTGCTATTCACATAACAACAAAAAGGCCAGTACATTAACCTGCTTTGAAACTCGTACAACATCCTTTCTGCAAATCAGGACAGCTACTTCATATTGACTGCTACCACATATGCATAGACCTGTACCAAACTTTGCAGCAAACCAAGTTACAACAAAACTGCATATTGAAAATGACAGGGCATGATAAAAAGGAGAGAAACTGCACAAAAGAACCAAAGTCCTATCTCCACGCAACCTACCGCTTGAAAGTACTAGACCTGCTGCTCCCTATTATCAACTCTGCATAACCTGCTATCACTGCTCCAAAAACACTCAAAACTCATAATGCCAAATTGGTATAACCACAAACCTACACAATGGACGTACGAGGTTCAAAACGGCAATTTTGGAGCCCAACAAATGGACAACCTTGGGAGACTCTTTGAAAAAGAGAGAAAAAACCAAGAATTCGGGACAGAGAAAAAGGATTCCCCAATCTTCAAAAGAGAACCCTGACTCTTCAACAATAAAAAGACAACCACCATCTTACCCCCGGGGATCGCTTCATCATTTTAAAACCTCCAGAAACAACCGAAAATCTCACACAACAACATCAGAGAAACAACCTTCAATCGTCTACAACCCAAAACCATCGAAGCTCTCTTCACCGAAACTTCAACAAATCCCCAAACCTTCCACAACACCTTCCGTCTTTAACTCGAGCAACCCTCAACTCACTACTTCAAACCCAACTACCACCTTCAGGAAACCCCTCACCTCCTTCATCGAACCAAACCTTCATTTTCATTTATCAACCCATTCACCCCCAAAACCTGTGCCTCAATACAAAACCAGAATAAATAGAAGTGGAAGAAGATAGAGAGGTTAAAAATCGAATCTGAGTTCAAATTGAAAACCTGATTCCGAAAATCCAGAAATAAGAGAAAGGTTAAGTGATGCGAGCTTGAAGCTTTTTGTATGTTGTGTTTGGTTTGCGATGGATGCTTTTCTCCGCTGTTTGTTTTGGTTGTGTATGAGTTTCATCACGGGTGTATGGCCCGTCCCATTCTTCATTTCCACGCCATTTTTTACTACAAATACCATTTGTGTTTCCTTTTGGGGTGATGGGCTGATGAGCCCAAGTGATCCCCATTATTTTAATGCCTTTTTCTATTACTTTCCCCCTGTTTGGTTTTTATTTTATTTTAAATAAAACGTAAATTATTTTGTTATTATGTATATATATTTATGTATTAGTTATTAGGTGGATTTATTATATATTGTTTTAGTATTAAAACAGTTTTTTATATGTATATATATTATTTTTCTTTTAGAGTTTATATTTATATTATTTTCTAGATTATATTTATATTCAATTTTTCTTAGAAGTTTTATTAATTTCTCTTTTAGATTGTTTTTATTTATTTTAGAGGATAAATCTTATTTCCCATTTGTTATTGGGCTTTTTATTCCACTTCTCTTTATTTTAGGTCGATGACGACATTTCCTTCGATCCTCTGTCAAATTATTGATGAGAAATGAAGGATCTGAGACCACCTCCTTTCTCTCCTCATTTCTTGTCCCGATTCGATTCATCGACACCATCAAACCTTTCTAAAAATCAATCATCTTTGTATTAAACTAAAAGAGGGGATTAAGTGTAGACTTTCTTCCTCTCTGAGTGTCGAGATGCTCACTGTAGTGTGGGTGGTTTAGACACTCGTCTTTCAATACGAAGACGTCTTTCTTTCCATGTGCATTTTCAAAAAACCCTTCAATAAAGGAATCGAGTTATATTCGCGTTGAATTGAAAAAAAAGGATTAAGTGTAGACTTTCTCCCTCTCCGAGTGTCGAGATGCTCACTATAGTGTGGGTGGTTTTTGACACTCGTCTTTCAATACAAAGACGCTCGTATTCTCCGCACTCATCCATATCCTTCTCTCCTAAAAAACCTCAGCCCCGTACCGAGTCTATTTTCAACCTTTCTCACCTAAAACCTCGGTCCCGCACCGAGTGCATTTTCAAACTCTTTTCATAACAAAAACTTGAATGGTCGTGGAGTGGTTAGGCATAGGCCTTCTCCTATCCCGAGTGCTGACGTTTACCGTAGGGTTCTCTGTCGCAAAGTACTTACCATTCAAAACCAAAAACATCTTTAATAAGAGAACGAAGTTATCTGTGCATTGAATTAAAGAGAGAGGATTAAGTGTAGTCTTCTTCCTCTCCGAGTGTTGGGATGCTCACTGTAGTGGGGGTGATCTTGATACTCGTCTTTCAATACGAGGATGCTACGTTCGCCACACCATTTTCATAACAAAAACTTTGAGATAAAGAATTGGGTACTACCCGCAAGGGGTTACTATCCGAGGATCTATCTCACCCCTAAAAAAAACAATCTCACAAATCAAATGTGACATCTTGCCTCGCATGGCGAAAACCTAATCATTTCAAAAAGGATATGTTACGTCCGTTCTACCGCAAATAGGTAACGCATAAGTCTCCTCACATGCGAGCAGCAAAACACCTAAACTGCTAGAATGCGCATGATAGCATCATCCACAAAACATCAACACACCGTAGGCCGAACTACGGCTGCTCTGATTCTTTACTTCTTTTAAGTAAAGATACGTAGGCACAAGGGTCACAATCCTTGCCAAGCATATTCCCCCCTATATCTGTAGTTCCCCGAACTACGTCGACTCTGACTTTCTCATACCTTTTGAGAATATGTAGGCCCAGGACCGCGAAGTCCTATTCGAGTCTGTTCTTTCTCCTTTCTTCCCCATTCTCTCTTTCCTCCTAACCTCTCATTTTCCTGTTTCAATCCCTTTTCTCTCCCCCTTTGGAACACTCTTTTATAACATAATTTTTAAGCAAATAAATTCACACATCGACAAGCAAATGGTTCTCATCGAGTACGATGGATGCGAAGGGTGCTAATACCTTCCCTTTGCATAACCGGCTTCCGAACCCGTTCATGGTTGCGAGACCATCTTATCCATTTCTTTCCTAAGGTTTTCTCGATATTTTCCTTTCCCCTCTTGGGATAAATAAAGTTCGGTGGAGACTCTTCTGTCCTTCCTTTTTCGCCTCCCCGTCGTTGCGCGATGCATTTTTTCGAGTAGCGACAGAAGCATCCCTCTAACTCAAATGGGTCCATACTTCAACCATGCATTATTACTTATAAAAAAATATACAAAACTATCAAACTCACTGATATGTACATGAAAATGTAATATATACAACAATATGTAAATTATACAAAAAGTACACAAAAACGAGGGTTTACTAACGGAAAACCAACGAATCAAGCCAATAAGTGCCAATTATTTACACTAAAAATCATTACAATTTAGCACTTATCACAATCCCTAATATAAACTTGTTTGTCCTCAAACAAGAATCGATCAACTCAAATAAAAAACAATTATCAAGAAATCATGCTCAACAAGTCTTTACAAATGGGAAACAAATGTATGGTACACAAATCAAAATTATACGCAAGACAATGCTAACCACTAAACTACAATGACACAATGTCTATGAAAAAAATTCTAAGTACAAAACACATGTAAATTTTTTTTAAGAAACAAATGTTCAATAATGAATCACACCTAACGCACAACTTCATCAAGAGATGAAGAACAAACATGAGGGACAACTCACACACAATAATCTTGCTAACAAAAATTTAAATTATGCATTCATCTAAAAAAGCTCGTATTGAAAGTATAAAAGTAAAAATCACAAGGGCTTTAAGGATTGTAATGTGCCCTGAGTAACAAACAATTGTTTTTCTCAAGATAAAAGAAACAAACTTGTCTAATCAAATAAGAGTGATCATTTCTCACAATCTCAAGTAATCATCAATTCCAATCACCTTTTTCTCTTTTCCAAATAGGGGCATCTGTCGCACCCTAATTTTTGACCATAAGATTCCACCTCCTTGTGTGTTTCATTGTGTTTATCCTTTTATTTTTGTGCACATGTTTATTACAGTTAACCAGTCTATGCAGATGCAGTAATTTCAAGAAGTAGAGGTGATATTTGTGTTCCCATAGTTGAACATCTCAAGGCATGACCATTTGATCCTGACTTGAGGTTGTCTTAAGGTCTCTGCTTGGTCTGAGATCCGGTTCTAGGTTTATTATTTGTTATTATTTATCTTTATATTTATTGTTATTGTTATTACTAATATTATATTTATTTCCATTATTATTATGTTATTTATTTTATTACTAACATTACTTTCACTCTTGAGTTATTATTGGGTCAATACACCGAAGATATCTTTGGATGCGCTTCTCGACTATATCTCGTTAAACTCCGGATCAGGTTTTAGTATCTTATAGATCAAGGTTGCTTCTCTATCAAAATCATCAATTCAAGGTGGAAATCCTATCAAGCCGTCTCAATCTTGGGAAAGGCAATGACAAGATCATGGCCCGTT